ATAAATTTTAATTTTATTGATTAATTATTCATTTCAATAAATTATAAAAAGCATGCTAATAAACATCATAAGTTAAAATCATCCCAATTAGGGATGGCCATGGGTCGGGTTTTTGGTCCACCCGACCCGACCAAAATAAAGTTTCACCCGACCCGACCTGAAATAATAATAAAAATTATTCAATAAAAACTGTGACTTAATTGAAAAAAATATATATAGAGAGGGGTATTATTGTAATTATTCCTAAATATATAAAGTAATTTTTTTTTGGTCGGGTCGGGTATTTTTCACCCTAAACCCGACCCGAATATCACACTTAAAAAAACCGACCCGACCCAAAATAATAATAAAAAGTATTTTTATTCAATAAAAACAATGACTTAATTAAAAAAAATTATATATAGAGGGGTATTATTGTAATTATTCCTAAATATATAAAGTAAAATTATATATATTTTCGGGTCGGGTATTTTTCACCCTAAACCCGAACTCGACCCGACCCGAATCTCACACTTAAAAAAATCGACTCGACCCGACCAAAATAAAGTTTCACCCAACTCGAATATATGAATTAGAAACCCGACCCAAATAATAAAAAAATATTTTTATTCAATATATGAATAAGTTACCAAAAGATTGATGAGGGTAGTATGGTAATTCCATCCAACAAGGGAATTGAATTCCATCATAGAATGGAAAGTTGAAGCCATTAGGGATTCCAATTCCCTTGAAAAATTTGAACAAAACATGGAAAAATGATGGAATTGAATTCCAATTCCCCTAATTCTAAGGAATTTATGTGAACCAAACATGGAAAAATGGTGGAATTGAATTTCAATTCCCTCTAATTCTAAGGGATTCATGTAAACCAAACGCGACTTTAACTGTGTAATGGTTTTCCAGGGCACCAACACAATTTCGAAAACAACTTGTTGAAATGTTGATGGTCACTTGAGGGAAGTCGGGTCATTGTCGATAATTCGGTTAGGATGGTGTACATATATGGGTCCGCGCATCTTGTATAAGTTACATGCGGTCCACGTTAATACATTTACAACAACAAAAATTTATATATAATGGCATAAATAAAATTTTAAAGTAAATATACTCTTTGAAATAAATAATTACTATACCCAGTTATTGTAATATTGTATAGCCGTAGTAAATGCGAGTGCTTGTTGTAAGCTTGTAAAGCCGTAGTAAATGCGAGTGCTTGTTGTAAGCTTGTGGTTTAATTTGGAAAGAATCGGATACCCAGTTATTATGAGCGGGGTCATAAGCCAAAATTTTAATACTCGATAATTATGGGTACTTGGAATTTTGAATATCTGAAAATACAGTTATCCAAATATGTACGCCTCTAATAGCGACAAGCCCATCTTCAGAGATTCATATTGTTCTCCATGGTCTGAAAGTATTCCACCGTGTAGTTTTTAATCTGAACTTAACATCTTACTTAGCAATAATCAAATTTGATAGCATCTGGTCTTATTTAACTGCATAGGTTAAAAGTAAAAATTTATAATTCGATTTAAATCATATAATTATTACTATACATCTTATATATGGGGATAATTACTATACCTCATATATAATCTTTAAATATTTTTTAGATTGTTAGATAAATAAAAGCGGATGGTTTAGATTAAATTTTTTTGATTGAGAGTAAGTCTTATTGTTATAAGTGACACCGCAATTGCATGGCATATGTTTATTGTCATTTTCAAAGCAAATGCTACAATATAATATCTCAATATAGTGGTAAATCATATTCTTGTTAATAGGCATGGCATGTTCATCTTTTACTATAAATCTTATACTTCTTTCAGTCATTTACCCAAGGTGATTACAGCAACGAATGGCAAAAAAATTGATGAAAATTTGCATTAAATGGCAAAAAGAAGGACAAAATATAATGAAAATGACCTAATTCTTTGAATAGATATAGTCGGTGGTTTACATATGTGCATCATATCCAGAAATGAAGTAACCCTACATGTTCACAGCATGAATGATAACAGAAGTTCCAATGGTTGTCATATGTTCATCTGCACTTCTTCTTGTCTGCCTTTGATAGTAAGTGGTCGTCCGTTGACCACAAGGATTGATACACAGGGGTCATACTAATAAGCGATCCCGGCTTTATTTCTCCCAGAAGAACCTTCCTCCTTAAATCTGGATTATTTGGATCCGTCAAGTTGGACATTATTGCACTGTACTTATGCTGCTGTGTGCCATATGTTTTACCCAACGTCAAAAACATGGCAGTTTCTACACTTAACGTAACCTGGATGGGATCACAAGCATTCACTTGATTCAACATCTCTTCAACGTCAATCTCATCAGCAACGATAGAAAATGCCTCTAAAAGAATCTTCCGGATTTGATTAACTTTTGAGCAATGGATTCAGCTTTGGAGCACTCTTTGCATTTGATCTCTGCTCAATATTAATCTTGTTAATCTCACCAGTCGCAGTCTTGTCAGCCATTGTAGTATTTCCATTTGCTTCATTTTCCCCAAGTTTGACGGGCTTAGTGGGAATGCCTTTAGACTTTTTGATCAATGACATCTGCTTCGGAGCACTCTTTGCATTTGATCTCTCATCGATATAAATCTTGTTAATCTTACCAGTCGCATTGTAGTTACTGCCTTTTCCACAACATTGATGGGCGTAGTGGGAATGGCTTTAGACGTTTTGTGAATCTGGAAGGTGCCATTTTTCTTTCTCTTGGCAATCTCTTGAAGAAGAAGTTTTTTCCACGACTCAAGTAAGTTGGAAGCCACTGTATGGATCTTCTCCCTGGGATGCACCGTGAGACGTCGAAGCCTTTTCCCAACCTTTGTAAAATGAAAAAGCAAGAAGAAACAGAATGTGATGGTTATGTTCCCATCAATTCAAAACACGAAGAAAGGAGAACAAGTTTGAAAAATATTACTACAATATTTCCCCCAACTTCCCATTCATCCATTTCTCTATCACTCATTGAATATCAGCAGTCAAAATCATACTAAAGCATGGGAGCCTTACTTTGATAAAACCATAATACATTCAAGAATTCTTGTATTTAGTACGAGAAACTGTGGAATTTAACTGTCATTCGATTCTTTATTTTATTTTTTGGTTCAACACTATGCTACATGAAATTAATAACGATAAACTCAGAAAGAAAATAAACCCTTACATAAAATTATCCGTTCATCGAAATTTTAATTGCAACATATTAAACATTAATTTAGGGAAAAGTAAGAAACCTTAGTAGAAAGAAGAATGTCGTAAGTGATGGGAAAAGCCTTGAGCAGGTTCAAGACGTCGACGCATCTTGAGACTTCGGGGCCGTTGGAGGAAACAGCATTGGAGATGGCCAAATCAGCGGCTGTACTGGCGGCCTCAAACAAATCCACAAGCTCTCTCTCCATTACCCAAAATCAGAATAACCTTAGACTGAAGAATGCAAGGTCAGGACGCATGCGGACGACTCTACTTTTATAGACCAATCTCTGAAGAAACCGAGAAGGAGACTGCTGCCCTTTTCTTGATTCGTAAGTTTCTCGGCTAGAAATTATTGTATAAAGGGCGGTGGTCTTCGTGGCCGGGCCCAAGTCTAGCTTCATCACAACCGTGCATCTCAAGTTTTAGTTGATTTCCGCGGGTTAGTTTAAGTAGGATCGGGTTAATTTAGATTATTTTCAGTTTTAATTTAAGTTCATGACATTTTAAATTATTTATTTAAATCTATTAAGTGGAGTTTTTCATGTTATTATGGTACGAAGTTATAACATTTTTTTTAAAAAAAAAAGGTAAAAACAGTAAATAATTTGACGAAAATATAATGAATTAATTAAAATAATTAATTATATATTTTAATTCAAATTTAATTGATAATTAAATTAAATTTTAATTTAATTCTGATGGTTAAAGTGTCACTCCCAATATCTGTGTTAAAAATTACGAACAAATTATGAAGATCACATTCGTTATCAAAGTGACCTTAAGAAGAAGAAAAAACATAATTGACAAATTATTTTTTAAAAACCCTTATCAAATAGAGTAGTAAAAATAAACTTATTTCACAGTAAAAAAAGTTAAAAATTAATATCTATTATCGAATAATATAAAATCAAAATTAAATCTTCGATTGTCGAATCGTTATTACATCTGAATAATCATAAAGTGAAAGATAAAAAAAGACTGAACTATAAAGCTTAATGTATCCTCTAAATGCAATCATGTATTAACATAAAAATATAAATGTCCCAATCAATGTGGGATAGCATACTTTTTATATGTGCATGTATGATATAAAAATGATCAAATTATTCAAATTCAGTGAATTTCGACGTAATTTAATTTTAATTTTTTTTATAAAAGTTCAATGTGACTTAACTCAAATAATTATTATTATGCTTAATATATATTTAAGAATATATATTATGATATATATATATATTATTATTATCTTCTTATTTTATTGAAAAAATATAAAAAAATATATTCGAATTAATTTTTATTTTAAAACTTATAATAGATTCAGGATGATTAGAATATCATAAAGCATTAGTCATGCCAGAGTCAAATGCAGCCTCTCAGTTAAGTTAAGGTGGTTAAAAAAATGATATATTTTATATCGTATTTAATTATATCCATTCTTAAATTCGAATTTAATCTATTAAATTTAAATATAGAAAACTTAAATTTGAATTTTAAAACAAGTGTGAACCCATATTCGACCTTGAAACGAGCATTTGAGTTGAATCAGAACATATATGATGACGATGTATACATTTTTAAGTTGTAATAATTGTCCTTAAAAAATACAAGATCCTATATTGTTTGTTGTTTATATTTGTTCATACAAGTTGGCATTTGAGCAAAATCTAGCCGTTAAAAAAGCTTTCACCTTTAAATTTTCTTAGTTCTAAAGCACACTATGCAAATTCGAACGTTAAACCCCAAACACTTTAAATACTCTTCATCTTCTTCCTTTCTTCCTCAACAAAATCCTAAAAAATTCGAGTTAGAATCAGATTCAACCGAGTCCAAGTCCAAGCTCCCATCAATGGGTTTCTCGATCGATAACTCGGTAACACAATCCAACACCCGAACTCACAAAACCTTCCTTATCAGCAACTATTTCCTCTTGGGAACAGCTTCCAGCTGCATCTTCCTCACACTCTCCCTCCGCTTATTCCCTTCCTTATGCGGCTTCTTCCTCATCCTCCTCCACGCCATCACCATCGCCGGCGCCATCACCGGCTGCTCCGTCGCCGTCTCCGGGTCCAACAGGTGTTACGCCGTTCACATGGTGGTCATGGTGCTGACGTCGATATTCCAAGGCTCCGTTTCGGTTCTCATATTGTCCCGAACTTCTGATTTCTTGGGGTACTTGAAATCCTACGTGAAGGAGGACGATGGGGTTTTGATATTGAAGTTGGCAGGCGGGCTTTGCGTGGCGGTTTTTTGCTTGGAATGGCTCGTGTTGGGACTTGGTTTTGTGTTGAGGTTCTATGCTTTCGTTGAAGGTCATCAAGGGGTCGTTAATGGCGGACAATCGTCGTTTCAGGGGAACGGGAAAGTTCAAGTTTAAAGAAATGTTGGTCTCGACTGCCGAAATTTCCAGATTTTTCTGAGTGTTGTGAAGCTCTGCTTTTGATTTCATATTCTAGTATTGTTTGTTTAATCATCAGTTTGTGATTCATATTCAAATTGTTGATTTGGGTTGGGATTTAACTTGTTAAAAATGTTATCAATTCTTTTTGCTTATACAAATTAAACTCTATTGTTAATCTCGTATTCGTGTATATATATAAAATTCATATAAATTTTTTCCTTTCATTAATTTTAGTCTCAAAAAAATATAAATATTAAAAATTTGATCGGACTTATTAGACAAAATTAGCTAAATAAAATATTAAGAAAAAAAATCGCAGTCAACATGTTCCTATGATTATTTTCTCAAATAAAGTTTTTTTGAACATTACCACGGTCAAGACACCTAGAATAATTAGCGTCTTCATGAAGACAGACAAAAAGCGACGTCTTTTCCATTCCATACTCTCATGGTCGGTGTATGCCTTCTCTTCCCATGCGCTTGTGGCTTGTATAAGACATAAGGTGATTCTTGTGTCTTCTCCGGACGACGTCCATTATTCTTTATATATTTTTTTGTGCTAATGTCAAAACGCCCCGTTCAAAAAAAATATATTTTTCCATTACAATATCTAGACAAAATTGTTAATTTATTATTATGTTAGAAAACATGTATACAATAAACATCTTCTAAAAACATAACTAGTGCGATTAAAGTAGTATTTGTTTTTTAAAAAAATTAGTTAATTTGATAATAGATACGTACACATTCTATAAATATAATTATATAAATTCAAAATTTTTAAAAATAATAATTCTCTGTTTTACTATTTAAATCATTTAATGGATCATATTAAAACAATTATTAATATGCGTTAGACTACACGTTTAATAAAAGTTCATAATATATATTATAGATTAGGGCATGGCAAATGTTAAGTACACAAGTTGTTTACAGCTGGTTTTGACCCCTATGAACGCTTTCCCAATACCCAATTCCCCAAATCCTTGATTGAATTATTAAAAAATTGTAAAATAAATTTAATTGTAATATTATATATATGATTACGACTATAATCATAATTTTAATCATTTGCATGCACTGTGAGTCTGTGACTAAAACAGGACAATCTAGGAACGAATATTGGCATATGTTAATGTCTGCCTAACATGAGATGAGACAATATATTAGTGGCGACATTTTCCTTAGTTTTCGACACACAAATCTTAGCCATATATATTCATCTTATTGATATTAATCATAGTTTTATATGTCAATACGATGAATTTACTTATTTATACCTAATGATAATATAATAATATGTCAGTCGGATTTACCAAAACTTCCTATCAACAATAGATTTATATCCGATAATTCTCATCAACAATCATTCTAAGTTGGAGATTATAATTTTAGAGACGAGAAAGTAACTTCTTATCTCTTTTTTTTCTAATATAAAGGTATATTATTTCTCATCAGATGTTCTCACATTTATTCTTAAACATTTATTATATTTAAAGTTTCAATTACCATTATTTACGATTTTATGTTTAATCGGAAAATATAGAATACCATAAATTCTCACAACCACCATTCCTCCTATGCACTAAGTATGAATATTCTCAATTTCCTTATTTTATTGGAAGAGTAAAAGAAAACTGGAAAAAGAAAAGATTACACACATAAGCATGCTTTAAAATTTGGAAAGCGTTAGGTCAAAAGAATAAGCAAAAAGGAGCCCACCAAATTGGGTTAAATGCGAGCCAACACTTTGATCACTCAAAGCAATCAAAATATAGTTAATTATAATTACTATATATTGGAAGGCATTTCATGGATCGTGGGATCGAGTCATATGGAGGGCATTTTATAATTTGGAGGTCTTTCACGGAAGTTGTTCTCAACCTGGCGTTGGGGGCAACCTACTCCTACCTCTCCCTTACCCCATTACATATGAAAATAAGGGTAAGCTAATTATATATATTGGAAGGCAAAAGCGTTGCATACCACTTCACATTTTAAAATACAAATTAACACAAAAACTATAAAAGTGTTGAATTATTGGATGTCATCATAATCATGCATGCCAACTTTCGCCTCCTCAATATATTTCATGTCATTTGCAATTAATGCATACTTTTGCATGGATATCTTGAAAAAGGGTAAATTATACCCTTAATCCCTATACTATATAAAAACTATAGATTTAGTCTTACTTTAGTCAATCTTAAACCATGTACTTTTGAAATTTCAGTCTTGATCCAAACTGTACATGTACAATATGATTAAATTATAGGTAGTTAAAATGATCAAATTAAACTGAAAACAGAATTTCACTTAGTGCATTTAATATTATATTGTTTAGATTATGAATAAAATTTCAAAATTTAAAAAGCACGAGAACTAAAATGACTCAATTATAATAAAATATTAAATCCATAACTTACATACAGTATAATAAAAGAATTTGAACAAAAACAATAACATGGAGTTCTGTTAACGTATGTTACAATAATACCATTTGAAAATATTATGTATAAATTTATACACGTGTTGATTCCTATCCATATTACTTCGAGGGGTAAAGTATACAAATATTCTCTCTATTGTGCAATCGTTATGTTGTGTTATTTGACTATTAAAAGTTATAAAATAATTATATATTATAAAATGATACTTTATTTAGTCTCTAAACTATTAAAAGTTATAAAATAATCATTTGACTATCCATATAATCTAAATTTATCATTTTTTGTTGAAAAATTAACAATCATTTAAGATTCTAGGATCATACATGATACTCAAACTCATAGTCTCAAAAAAAAACAATAAGTTTTTAACCATTAAGTCGAGTATACCTAATGTACAGTATATTTTGAATAATTATATAAAAGAACCATTCATATAAAAGTAATAGTAAAAGATGAAGCAGCGAGTATCTACTAATCAACATTTTATAATTTATAAATTGAAACCTTAATGACTGATTCTCACAATACATATTCTTCCACCCCCACCCCCACCCCCCGGGTTTTACCTTACCGTAAAGCGAATGGTAAAAAGTAAAAACCAAAGTGGATTTGTTTTCACAAAAATAAAAGAAAATCATTCGAAGTTTGATAAAGTATGTAGGGACATTGAGAGCCTGAAAATTTGTTATTTTGCAATAATTTTTCTGACTAATATGCTTGGTCTTTATTTTCAGGGTGGACGTCAAGTAACTTTGGAAATATTAATTCACTATTTTTGCATATGTGACTGTCAATCAACACAAACCAAAATAAAATGAATTACTATAAATTTGAATCGTACTATCAATATATCATTTTTATATATTTTATTTATAAAAGCACCTTTTGCTGTCACCAAAATTGTATAATATAATAATTATAAGGGTAAATTACATTTTTAGTATATTAACCATCACTTTTGTTTCATTTGGTCATCTATTTTTTTAAAATCATATTTAACATTATTTTTTAATTTCATTTTAGTCATCTACCCTTTAAAAATTAACGAAACTATTGACGTGACATGCTTTTATTTTTTCGATGATAATATAACATTATCTTATAATGATATGTCAATATCACCATTAATTTTTGAACTGTTGATGATCAAAATTAAATATTAGATATGATTTTGAAAAAAAAACTAAGTTATCAAAATAAAACCAAAATAATAGTTAAGGTATTAAATATATAGTTTACCCTAATTTTAATTTGCAAACAAACATTCCAATTTTATCGGCTTACCTAACATTCACAAAATTTCCACCAAACTTATATACATAGTTAATTTATGTATATTACGAGAAGGCAATCTAATTATCCAACCAATGTCAACGGAAATAAAAGGTTGTGGTCTAAATCAGTTATATATAAACTTATTGAATATTATTTTTTCTAAAAAAGAACTTTTATATACATATTATAAGCAAAAATTAAAGTTTAAAACTTTATTCTTAAACTCTAAACTATGACATTTAAATTATGCGCTCATAAACATAAAACCTTAAATCCTAAATATTAAATAGTATAAATGACATTAAAATAATTTAAATATTTACGGATCTACATACATAGCCCCTAAGTTTTTTATTCAATAATAGTTTTGGTCTCTATTAGTGTAAATATTATTTAATTTAAATTTAAATATCTAATAAGTCTCTAATTTTTTAAAAAAATAAATAATTTAATTCCTTTTGTTATTTGATATTTACTCTCTCTGATTTACACAAATTATATTTCAAATAATTTTATTTTAAAAATCATACAAATAAAAATCAAAAGCTTTCCCATCTGAATTAAAGATTTTTTTTAAAAGGATAAATCCAGCACCACCATTGCATGCTCAGGTAGTGCTGCTTTGCCTTTTCTTATTTTTGCCACTAAAGTTCGCCTTTCACGTTCTTTTTAGCAACAAAAAGATAATTAAATAAAATGTTGAGGAAAAAAACTTTTTTTATTAAAAATCTTTTAGATCAACAATGGTATGCTATGAATATTCTGTCCTTTTTGCTACAGAAAAAGAAATAATAATTTAAATCAAAATATTAGGGGTAATATTGTAAAAACATAAGTTGATTGGAAGATTTCTCAGAAAGATGACGGACAGAAGCCGGTGGATCATTGCGGAACGAGTATCGAGAAAATGACACGTGTCGTTTTCCACGCGAATCACGGGTTTGATTGCTCGTTTTCAAAATTTGTACCCGTTTCTGATTACGTTCAGGTTGAGTCAGTTTTCACCGACGAATTTTATAGTTCGTTTTTGTAATATTTTAGGGTAAAGTATATAAGTGATCCCTTGATTGTAGGAAATTTTTGTATTGAGTCTCAAAACTATTAAAAATTATATAATAGTCCCTTATCTATAGAGTCATGTTTTGTTGAATCACCTACTACTAAAAGTTACAAAATGGTCACCCAACTATTCATATGTTCTATACTCTTATTTTTCGTTAAAAAATTAATGACAGTGGACGTTAACTTGTTGATTGAGGTATAATAAAATCTGATTTAATAATTGTTTGACTTGTACTATGTGAATCGACTCTTAGTTTACATTATGTCGGTGAACCGGTGCTTGAAATATTATGTCATCGAGCCAATACTTGAAAGCAACAACAATTTCAGTATATATCATTAAAATATGATTTTATTATATCATAGTCAGCATGTTAACGTCCAATTTAGACTGCCGTTAATTTTAACAAAAAATGTTGAGTTTGAAACACATGAATAATTGAGAGATCATTTTGTAATTTTTAATAGTTGAGGGACTCAACATAACACTACCTTATAATCATATGATCATTTTATAAATTTTAATAGTTGGATGACTCAATAAAACACTACCTTATAGTTAAAGAGCATTTGTATACCCTATCCAATTTTTTTATTAAAGGATTCATTGCTTTTAAAATTTGAAGTTAATTTTTTTGAAAAAAAATAATTATAAATAAATTTTTTTAGATAAATCTTATTTATTCATCCAAAAGAAACCTCCATCTCAAATAAAAATTATAACCAATAGAAAAAATCTAAAATTTCACCTACAATATCAAACCTACAAGCCAACAAAACATAGTCTCAAGCTAAATCCCCCATTCAGTAACTAAAAAAGAATTAAGATTACAGATCTTTGAGTATTATTTTTATCTGAGAAAAAATAACAGTGAACTGTTTTAATCCCTTGTCATACTTCTGCACCCAATTAATCAAATCCATCCAACAGTTGTGCAAAATATAAAACCTACAGTTTGCAAGATCAGTCACTAAACCATAAAATAAAGAGAAAATAACCGTATTGACCATAAATACCTTATAATATACGATTTTAATCATTTTTTTTTAATTTGCCAAAATGACCAACTAAATCGCAATGCGATCGATAATTCGCAACGCGATCTCTGATATCGTAAATCAGTTTCCAGATTCGCAACACGATTCTGACTATCGCATTGCGATTTTCCAAATTCACGTTGCGATTTTCCGACTATCGCAATGCGAATATGTAAATCGCAATGCGAATATGACTATCGCAATGCGATTCTGACTGTCGCAACGAGATTCTGACTATCGCAACGCAATTCTGACTGTCGCAACGCGATGCTGACTATCGCAATGCGATTTTCAAAGCGCCATTATTATCGCAACGCGTATTTTTTCAAATTTCAAACACGAATATTAATATATCGGAACACTGAACCGTCCACAGTATATCCCGTAATCGCAACTAATAACCTAAAACCCTAAATCACAACTCAGTCCCATCTCCATCTCTCACTCTCTAAGGCGACATCCGTCCCCATCTCCGACGAAATCAGTCCCCATCTCCAGCGAAATCCATCTATCTCCATCTCTCAGAGCCACCCTCACAATCATTCACGGTCAGAAATGTAAAATCAATCAAATCAACCACTGATAGTTAGTTTTTTAATTATTTTTATTTTGAAATTTTTACATTATTATTAGATTTTTCACATTGAAATTGATGATAAGTTTACTGGTAATTTCAATAATAGATTAACCATTTCATTTAGATTGCTTATTAAATTCATTCGATTGCTGCCAATACTGCTAAAATATTTAGTCTTTAAACCCTGTGAATTTAGTATTTGTATTTGTTTTGTCTTTTGGTTGAAGTAATGCAATCCATTCAAGTTTCAATTTTAGTATTTGAAACCGATAATCGCAACGCGAAATGAAAATCGCAACGACTGAATCGCAATGCGATTTTAGTTTCGCGTTGCGATAGTTAAATTAGTTTCCGATAGTCATTTTTGTGTTGCGATTTTCATTTTCGTGTTGCGATTTTAAGTTTCAGAAACTATTCTTCTCCTGCAAATTGAAACTTGAATGAATTGCATTACTTCAACAAAAAAACAAAGATAAATACTAAATTCACAGTATTGCAAATTTAAGTTTGAAGAATAAACTACTACTCTTTATGTTTATTGTTCTTGGTATATCTTCACAGTGTAGTTTTTGGTATATCTAACTTGGTATGTTTATTGTTTTTGTATAACTTTTATTCGGCTCAATTGACCTTAAGAAATAAATTAAGCCTGGCCAAAACAATTGCGTCGAAGCTTTCACCTGCACAAAGAAAAATATTTTGAGGATACTTGCTTCGGGCCATGGCTGAAAGTAAAACATCCGGGTGGAGATGCTATGTTGACCCATCTGTTTCTTCAAACCATGACTAGCGATCTACCAGAGACTATACAACGTCGTGATGAAGAGATATGGTTTGATTTTCCACCGGCGTATACGTGTTTTGGGCGAGAGGAGTTTTGCTTAATCACCGGTCTACGCTTCAGACACGATGATGTAGATCGGTACACTAGACATATTACCCGCCTATCATGGTTATCCCAGGTTTTTCCTGAGCTGTCAATGGAGAAGCCAAATTTACACGTGGAAGACTTGACGAGATTATTGAATAAGAAATATGGTTTTACTCGGATGGATGGCGTCGATGTTGTCCGAGTATGCTTTCTAATACTTTTGCATGCCGGCTTTTTAGGCAGAGAGCCCAGACAACCTATTCCTAATGATTTAATTAAATTGGTAGATGACCTAAATGCATGGAACCTGTTTCCGTGGGGTTCGTATCTATGGAAAGCTACATGAAATAAGTTGTCGTCTACCTTTGATGATCGAAAAAGTTTGCGTGGCGATGGTTCCAAATACACTTTGTCAGGCTTTATTTGGGCCTTTAAGGTAAGAAATTTTATATAATGTTTCTAAAATTATAATTAATTATTATTTAACAATTACTAATGTTTGTTATTATATTGTTTGTAGATTTGGATATTTGAGGCCTTTCCCGCCATGCATACATATGCATTAAAAACTTCTAATGATATTCCTAGGGCTATTTCCTGGAAGAGGAAACGGACCTTGCAGCAATGGGAAGATTTACTACCGTATACGACAATAAATAATGTAAGTTAACACAAATACTACCATATGTTTATAAACAAGTTATTACTAGTACACGTTTAACTTTGTTCGAGCTTTTATATTGTTAGGAGTCCAACACTCCATTACAGAGGCTGACACCCACGGAAGCTGAGCTTGCCACTGATTGGTGGCAAGCTAGTAAGCGTTTTTTTAATGGCATGGATGATGAGCAGCCTTCACTTCGAGAGCCATCACCTCACCCAGAGCCATCACCTGATCAACCCGACTATACACCTCCACAACGAGAGCCATCACCTATTATGTCACATCATCGAGCCTCTTCTCCACCATCACCTCATGATAGGCGACCGGCAAAGATGCCACGACATTTATCTCCCTGTTCTCCACCTCCACCTCCACAGGATGAGTTAGGGGAGTTACGTGATGAGGTCAATGCCTTGCGTGAGGAGGTCGGTACTTTACGCGATGAAAATAGTGCATGGCGTGTTGAGGTAGCCGCTCTACGTGAGATGGTAGCATCATTATATAATGACGTTCATACTATACGCAACGAGGTAAGTTTAATATTTTTCATATTTAACTTGATGATAAATTTACTCGTAATTTCACTTAGATTAACCATTTCACTTAGATTGCTTAGTAAATTCATTCGGTTGCTGCCAATACTGCTAAATTGTTTATTCTTTAACCCTGTGAAGTTAGTATTTGTTTTTTGTTGTCTTTTGGATGAAGTAATGCAATCCATTCAAGTTTCAATTTGCAGAAGAATAATAGTTTACTTTCGCAAAGCGAAAATGACTATCGCAACGAAAGAATCGCAATGCGAAATGAAAATCGCATTGCGATTCTCTCGTTGCGATAGTCATTCGTGTTGCGATTTTAAGTTTCAGATTCTTTTCTTCTTCTGCAAATTGAAACTTGAATGAATTGCATTACTTCAACCAAAAGACAAAGACAAATACTAACTTCACAATGTTGAAAATTTAAGTTTCAAGAATAAACTACTACTCTTTATGTTGTCATTGAACCTGCACTAAACCTATATGTTGTCCTTTTAAATGTTTATATAAGTGATTACTTCTGGAATGTTATCTGATGCATTTTGTGAACAATGATAGAATAATGACTTGGGTGAATACCGTGCAAGTTTGAAATATATTTGTCTTTGTTTTCACTGTTTAATATCATGTTTGTTTATTTATTGATTTATGTATTAATTTATTTTTAGCGGCCCGCTAAGGTGGATGCTCTACGTCGGGTTTTTATTGCAAGACGGAGTTCACGCATCAGACGGCGTGCACGTGCCATTAAGTCTCCGTTCACCCCAATAGTGCGAAGAATCCGTAAGAAAAAGCCCGACTCACCTGTCATCGTTCAAGAGGCCTCCCCTATCGTTCAAGAGGCCCCTGTCATCGTTGAAGAGGTCCCTCCCAACATTCTAGAGCCCGATTCACACTGCATAATATATCGAATTATTGAGAAACCCCCTCACGTACCGGACATGATGGATGACTGTTGGCTTTCGTATAAGTTACCGGCCAGTACTATTCCAGCATATGAAGTGGAGAGGAAACAACTACCGGAAACAATTCTGGATAATACCCTTTGGGCTAAGACCGCAGTTGATTTTTATCTACATGAGCGGAGCCAAGGGTGTTACGCTGACATATACAAACTCAACGATGATATGCATTTGTTGATTGAACGGACTTGGTGGGGTGTGTTATTAGGGGTTGAAGACAATGGCTATTTCGATGGGGGGTAAGTCTTATATTTCTTCTTATATTTCATTTTGATTAATTTTTTTTAAATTTATGTAATTCACTAATATATGTCTTTTTTTGTAAAACAGCATATTGATGCATGGGTGTCACGTCTTCTAATAGTAAGGGCTTTGAAGAAAAATAAAAATAAAAAAATACGCGATATACAATTATGCCGACGTCTTTTCACGTAGTTCACTTGAAAAATCAACGACAGGAATCATATGTGTTACTAATGGACAAGCTAAACTTTATCCTGCATAGTGGGAGGTCGATAAGGTTAGTATTTATTTTTTAAAATTATTTTAAAGGTGTTTATAAATAAGTGCGCAATTTGAATTATTACTTATGATTGCAAGTGTTTATCCCTGTTTTGGAACGTACTCATTGGCTTCTCGTCGAGCTTCAGCTCCCATCCCTGAAGACAATAGTATATGACAGCATGATTAATTACATATTATTGTTTTATTTGAGAGATATTATTAAGGGATGGAGCTCTCATTTGGCTAAATTCTTAGATGCGATTAATTATTGGACTTATTCTAGAAACAAGAAGCCAAATAAGTTCAATGTTACAGTTATCAGAGACGAGACCGCGCCACAACAAACGCCGAAAGCCAGAGGGGAGTGTAGTCATCTCGTATGCATGTGCTTGGAGCGTTTGACGACATGAAGTACACAGTTTATACCTCTCACCGATAGAGATAGAGGTGTAGTAGGCTTGTGGTTTTGGTATTTTATGGCTAGAGCGATATATTTGAGACGTTGCCTACCTGCATCCGCGTTATGAAAGTATTCATAAACAATTTGTAAGTCAAATGCAAGTGTTGTTAAGTACCTAGAATTCAATAATAATTTGTTGTTTGTTGATTTTAGATGTGTAGAAAGTGTTATTTGAGCAAATGTTTGGTTTATGCAGGTTAATCCTGAAGTGAGATGTATGGGTGAAATTGATGAGGAAAATAAGAATTATTATCATTTTTGCTTGTTTAATTGATTTATAAAAACTGATTTGTAAAAGTTGATTTGTTTAATATTGATGTGTAAATAATTCTTATTTTTGCTTGTTTAATTGATTGAAATGTAAAAGTTGATTTGTTGATTTCAATCTGCATCATATTGAAAGCAAAAGACTTGTTGGAGGTACACTTTCGCAACGCTAAACTCAAAATCGCAATGCGAAAGACAAAATCACAACGCGAAAGTCAATTAGCGTTGCGATAGTCTAATACGCTTTGCGATTTTCTCATTGCGATAGTCAAATTCGCGTTGCGATAATCAAATTTGCATTGCGATACTCAAATTCACGTTGCAATTTTCTCGTTGCGATAGTCAAATAGCCGTTGCGATAGACAAATTCGCGTTGCGATAGTCATATTCGTGTTGCGATAGTCAAATTTGCGTTGCGATATTCAAATGAATGTGTAATAAGTGATAACAACTAAACATATCATAGCAATGTTCAAACTCAAGTTACTAATAAATGCCTAACTGAAAATGTTAAAAGTTTACACATAAAATACACATAATAGTCAAATTCGCGTTGCGATATTCAGATGAATGTGTAATAAGTGATAATAACTGAACAAATCATAGCAATGTTCAAACTCAAGTTACTAATACATGCCTAACTGAAAATGTTAAAAGTTTACACATAATACAACGTTTGCATTTAAAAATCACCTAAGTTAGTAGTCCCAAAAGGTGAAGCCGGTTGTGATTGGGATTTTGATTTTGTTTGCGATTTTGATTGCCTTTTTCTTGACACCATATGAGCTTTGGATTTTGATGAGGATCCATATTTTGGTAGAGGAAAAGATGATTGTGATGGCACTGGTGATCCACATGTCAACCTTGTATGACCACTTTCCTTACACCGACTACATGTCGATCTCTTATTCTCTTCACCCTTAGACGGTATACGATCGTGACTTTTTGGTCGGCCAGGTAGCCTTCTGTCCATGGCTAGTGGCAAAACTGTTTGTAAGTCATCTAGTATGTCCCACTCAGAAGGATGTGGAATAGGGTAGATAATCTCGGCATAATTTTGTCGATATACTTCTGTAGTGTAGCAATCCATAGCGTATGCGCTTGAATCATCTTGGTTTAGATGAAGAGCAACCTTTATAACATGCCCACACGGATAACCAGATGTTTTCCATTTCATACAACTACACGTCTTTGCATTTAGATCGACAAGCCCATTTAAGTTACTATCCAGTACTTCAAACAAAGTGTTTGAACATGGTTCAACTCTCCATGACGTTGACTTCACAACACGTTTCGTTATCTTTTTTTCAGTCCATGGTGTAACACGTTGTTCCAATGTTCCTTTAAATTTAAATAAATAATACTTAGTAAAATATATGATAAGTTACGAATTTAAAGAAATAATACATGCATGGTTTCTTTTCTTGTAGTACCACTATTGAATAGAGGCTCGAAAAAACTCCATTAACATAGTAATGAGTAATTTTCGGGAATGACGACTTAGAGCGTTGATTGATTCTGCACTATTAGACGTCATGAAACCATATCTTGCTCCAAGTTGATGTACTCTTGACCATCTTTCAAACCCGACATCTTCTAATGTTTGAGCACACTGAGGCAAAACACGTCTTAAACAATTTATATGCTTATTAAAATCCACTTCCCGATAAGCTTTTACAGCCTTCCAGTATGTCCATTTGTGATTTTTTATACCAGCAGACCTTGATTTTAGATTTCTATATAAATGACAACCATAAAGTCCATGAAAAATATCTGGGAAACACCTTCTAACAGCGTTGTCAATTGAGTTTGCCCTATCGGATATGATTGTCAGATTGCTAATAGGACCTATGCAATCCCTAAGATGCCCCATAAATCATGTCCATGAATCAGAGGTTTCAGATTTGCCAACCCCGTAAGCTATTGGCAGTATCCCATTGTTCGCATCTATGGCTACTGCTAATAAGTTTACTCCAAGGTATCGACCTTTTAAATGTGATCCATCAACTATAATAACTGGGCGCATGCAAGTAATAAACGAACGAATCTACAAAATCATATACACAAGAAATATAATCATTTAAATGTGAAATGCATATAACTAACAAAAATGAGTCAACAAAATTATATTGATTTACTAACCGCAACACCAATGGCGATAAACAACAACTCAAAGCGTCCATCTCTATCTGTTTTGATATGAGTTACCGACCCAGGATTTTTCAGCTTTAAATTATGACAATAAGCCGGCAGTTGGGCAAACGATGCTTCTGGCGACCCCCTCAACAATTCTAAGGCATAACATTTGGCTCTCCAAGCTTGAGAATATGAGATACTAATCTTGAACCGAGCATTCATGTCAGTCATAATTTCATGTCCCCGATATATTATGCCATTCAAAAACATTAACTCAGTCAGAAAACCACCCAACACCTTTTTGTTTGCCTGTCTATGGTGAGGAAAAACTTGGGTTCTTGAACATGTATGTTTATCAATAAAAGTCCTAACTTGAAACATTTCGCAATCTTTTATCCTCTTCACAATCATACGCCACGTACAGTTTTTGTCAATCATACACCTTGTTTCGAAACGATCTTTGCTTGATTTGTTAACTTTTAGTTGATAGTCATCTTCCACACATTTCGTATACAAAGATATCTTCAAGTCTTCCTTTGTATCAAAACAATCATCTTTCTTGATACGAATAATTTGTGTGTAACAATCAACTGCTATTTTTACCAACTCTTCTTCCGGTATCTGAAGTAATTCTGGCATATTCCAGTTATACTCCCGTGGCATTTTCTTCGGGAATTTCTTCTTCTTCTTTTTCTTCTTCAGGGTTATATGAATTACAGAATGGATGTTCAACATGTTCATTCACAGTCGTAACTTTCTCCTCATTATCATCAACAACATCTTCCTCGGCAGCGGCTGTTTCATCATCAAAATTCGGGTATTGACCAATATCAAAATCATTACACGTAGGGTCTGTTTCTTCTTCTGAAACATCATCAAAATCCGAGTATTGACCAAGATTAAAGTTCGGGTATTGACCAAGATCAAATTTCGAATACTGACTAGTACTCACAATTTTTTCTGTTGGCTCATCATCATCTAACTGGTTAATACGAAAATCGGAATTTGGTGCTGAAAGTTGATTGGGATTTGGATTAGGGAAAAGTTGTGGGTTTTGAGATTGTGTTTGGTATTGGAAATGTGGTGAAACAAAATTTGCTTGGTGATGAAATTGTGGTGGAACCATTAAATTTTGAGCACCATAAACTGGGGTTGAAAAACTTAGTTGATTACTACCCGCTACTGACTCAACTTCACTACTTCTAGGTTCAACAACATACAATGTAACATCATCTTGCGAAACACTAATGTAAGCAATGAATTGTTCAACATCTTCATTGTCGGTTAACAAATAAACTTTACATTTTCTCTGATAAGATAGTCTAAATCCACTTAAGGGCTCTAAATTCAATTTATTTGCAACACGTAACATTAGAGTTTCATAAGTTAACTTTTTTAATGACAGTTTTAGTTGAAGATTCATGGGTAAAGGCATATATTGTAAAACACCATGAACATTCTCCCATGACCCTCCAAATCACAAATCTATCCAAACATGATCAACATTAGATGATTTCATTATTGTAAATTAATTTACTAAACAAACGAGCTGCGAAACTAAAACCTGTTGCCGGATGGGTAAGGATGTCGTTGGATATAGAAACGGATGTCGCCGGAGAGAGTGATAGATGGAGATGGAATGAGTTGCGATTTAGGGATTTAGGTTATGAGTTGCTTATGCTGCGTAGTTATATACCCAAAACATTTGTGTTGTGAAACTAAAACCTGTTGCGAATTTGAAATTCAGTGTTGCGACAGTCAGAATCTCGTTGAGATAGTCAGAATCGCGTTGCGATAGTCATAATCGCATTGCGATAGTCATAATCGCATTGCGATTTACATATTCGCATTGCGATAGTCGGAAAATCGCAATGTGAATTTGGAAAATCGCAATGCGATAGTCAGAATCGCGTTGCGAATCTGGAAACTGATTTGCGATACCGGAGGTCGCGTTGCGAATTATCGATCGCATTGCGATTTAGTTGATCATTTTGGTAAATCCAAAAGAAGTTTGTTAAAATCGTATATTATAAGGCATTTTTTGCCACTGATATTATTTTCTCTAAAATAAAATAATGTCGAGGAATAGCTACCTCCCTGACAATTTGAAACCAAGGTACCCTGTCCAATTTGTGCCTAAACAGATTTCAGACCATTTGTGCTTTATACTCCCCTACAATATGTC